ATCAGCTGTCGACATATGCAGTTGTCCATAGAGACTCGTTTATGTATATGCACACTGTAGAATGATGATACCATCAAGGTTTGATAAGAATTAGACAAGTCAATGTTGTCGTTTTCAAATATGGTTAAATAAAATAGAATGAATGGAGAAACGAGAGTAAGATCGAATAACAATCTTATCATTGATCTACTCATCGCTGCGCTAGAAATTTAACAAATTAAGAATTCCCTAATGAATAATTCTGATTTAAAAAAAAAAAGAAAGTCTTCTTATCAAATTTATTTGAATGAAAAATCAACATAGATTTCTTTTGTATTATATCTTCATATAATTCTAACATTCTTTTTTTTCTTCTTGACTTACTTTCTCTGCATGATATAGAAAACAAAAATCAAGAATAAATTCTTTAGATCTTCATTCGTCAAAGAAAGAACAACAACAACAAGAAAACAAAAAGAAAAAAAGAACAACAATATGATGAGAGAAAGCTATAATAATTAAAAAAATTTGACAAGATGAAGAAAGAACTCACACCCTGTGGAGAGTTGATTATATACATATTGTTAGTTTTCTTGATAATCATCAGGAGAAAATGATCCATTACTGATTGATGTTTGTTGTCCATTACTTGTATTACCATTAGCAGACCAAGCACCTTCCATACGCCATACACTAAATGCATAACTTAATGTACGTTCATTTTGTTGTGATAATGGTGATGATTCTGTATCAAGTGCAAGTGGCTGTTGCTGTTGGTGTTGTTGTTGTTGAAGTTGTGATGTTGAATTTTGTTGTGTTGATGGTATATTTGATGATGAAGCTTGTTGTTCATCTGTACGTAAAATTTGATAAAGAAAATCAATATAACGTGTTGCCAATTTTAATGTTTGAATTTTTGATAATTTATCTGATGGTAACGTTGGAATAATATGACGAAGATGTGCAAATGCATCATTTAATGATTGTGTACGTTGTCTTTCACGTACATTAGCAATAGCACGTTGATTTTGTACATCATCTTGTGACATTGCTTGTTGCTGTTGTTGTCGTCTTTTTGATGATATACGATGTGATGATAATGATGTTGAAGGATATGGCTGATTATTTAATCGACGTGATAAACGTGTTGTACGACGTGTACGTCGTTGATGATTTGTATTATTATTATTATTTGATGATTCTAATAAATGATTTTCATTATTTAAATTATTTGTTATTGATGTATCAAGATAATTTTCGTCTATACGCATTGGTGTTGATGGTGAACTTAAACTTGAATCGCTTCCACCACTACTTATCGATGTTAATGGATAAATTGTTACTGGATATTGTTGATTATTTGATGATGTATATTCACTTTTAATAAATGTATTTATAAATGTTTGATGTTGAAGAAGTGTTGTTGACGAATTAGAATTCATAGAGAAGAAGCAAGAAAAATCCTATGTTATTTTATTCTAATAACTAAAACAAAAAAAAAGAAACAAAAATTATCTTCTTTTTTATTTTATTTTTTTTTTTTGTTTGATAAATAAAAATTCTAAATTAAATTAATATTGCTTCTGTCTAATATTATTATTATTATTATTATTCTGATAATCTTAGTTGTTAATTGAAACCATATCATATTGTATGTTGCATGATCCGAAGAGTTTTCTTTCTTTACTCATTTCACTTGCCTGTTTATGTTTGTTATTTGCTTGTCAGATGTAAACGATTAGGTTCATCTGGTAAGCATCTTGTATGAAGATCTCTTCTTTTTTTTTTCTTCTTGTTTCTTGATGTTGTTGGTGTAAGCCTGGTGAGTATACAACACAGAGACAAATGCAATACAAGTATAAGCAGTAGTTGTTTTGCACACGTCTTCAATTAGATATGCAATATAGATGCCTCTTTTTTTTTGCCTTTTACTCTTAGGCAAGAGGAGAGAAAAAGAAAAAAAAAATGTTATTTCTTTTTTTTTTCTTTTTCTTCTCTTCATCGCATATTCATTGCTGATTGGTCAATTGTTTATCTGTAATAAGGAAAAAAAGCACACTGGAGCATTCTGTATGTGTCTTGGATAGAGATTACTAGAACATCGAGATAGGAATTTACATGAGAAAGAAGAATGAAGAATATTCTATTGGTGCTACGTCTGTGGAAGTTTTTTTGATTAGCCAATCTATATGTGAGACATAACAAGTGAGAGAGAGGGAGAGAGAAATATTGCATTTTATCCTAAATATAGAACAATAATATCATGTATATTTGAAAATTGACAGCAAAGAAATAAACTTTTTTCTTAATGAATATGAGAATAGAATACAATTTTTGTCATTTTTTTCTTGATCAATGTAATTATTTGTTCTATTGATTCATGTATAACAATTGACATGTCTCATTAACACAAATTGTAGTACCATTTATTTCTTTCATCTACAATATACATATATACATATATTGAGATACATTTGTTGTCCATGTGTGTGTATTTAAGTAAGCTAAGACGATGACATTAATTTGTTCTATATGTTATAATAAAAAATATTCTTTCATCTTGGTTTTGTTTTTCACAATTTATCTTTGAATAAGGGATATTGGAAATGATCATTGAAGATTCTTTTTATTTTGACGAAGCAAATGAAAATTGAGAAGATAACAGTGAGTTTTTATTATTTGTTGTCATTGATGGACAATGGACATTAAGAGAAATAGATAATATTTTGTTTTTTAGAGTGTAGGTGTAGAGAAAAATTATTGTATGATTTATTGTCTATGCAGTAAAAGAGTAGACAATGATATTGTTATGTGTATTATTGATCGTAAGGTCGAACTTATATATATATATATTTATTTATTCTTAACTAATGAAGACTAGTCAACTATAAAGATTTGATGATAGAATACAAAAGAAAAACATAGTATGGCTAGTTCTGTATTTCGCAGTTGCTTTGTTTGTAATGAAAACTGAAATTATTTGTTGAATTTATGTGTTAGTCGTTTTAATTATTGTTACGTTCTAATGAAGCAGTGACGGAGCCAGGATTTTGAGCTAGAAAGTTCAACCCTTCCATAGACCTTTGAATTTCCTGATGAGAATTTTGAAAAATGTTTTTTTTTTCTGCTACGAAAATGTATTAATCTTTGCTATGAAACTTTTAAAGATATATGAGTTCTACACAATAAGATATGTATGTTGCAGAGACTAACACATTTTTGTATCAGAAATAGCTACATCTTTTTAAACTTTGCTAGAAGAGGTTAACCTTCGCGTGGCTTAGCTATTGCTATGACCATAATCGAAAATTGTTGTTGTATTTCCACTTCATTAGCCGAGAAGATTTGTTTGTTTTCAGAATGCAATTTAGCATAGTTTTTACTAGTGAAATTTTCCAATGATGAAATACAAAAAATTAAGATAGAAAATAATCATTCTTCTTTCTAATGAGATGAAAACCTAATTTGTGTTCAAAAAACATCTATAGGTAAAATTAAGCAAAATTTACTTTAAATAATGAATTTTTCTCTGAATCATTTTTTGTTTGAATATTTTTAATAGTAAGATTGTATTGAGTCATTTTTAATTTGCTCGAATTTTTCCATAAAACTTTCTAAAGTGATCAAATATTTAGAAATACGCTCCTGTTCTAGAATTGCTCTCGTCTGATCGAACAGCATACATTATCAACAAATCATCATTGCCTTAAAATTACCGAAAAAAAAAACAATCGACTTCGTAGAAAAACATGAATGAATCAAACTGTGTCAAAGTCGAGAAGAAAACAGCAGGGGTTTCAGTGTTGAAGTCTTCTGTTTCTTCTTCGGATAAATTGTTCAGTAACTGAATGATCACATGTTGAAGAATCAAATTTTGCAGTAGATATAGTATATTGATGAATTTTTATAAGGTAATCACATACTCATATATACAAAGAGACACATGAAAAGATAAAAGGAATGATATATGTTCTATACTTTCATAATGTGTCTACTCTTATTATATTTATGATACTTGTAGATACAAAGTAAATAATTAGTTTTATTTTATTGGTTTAGCTGAAATGTTCCAAACATTTATAACAGCAATTTAAGTAATAATGGTTGTGAACAATATCTTTATAATCAATATTGAGTAAATCTAAACTGTTGATGATATTATCGATGTATTAGATTCAAATTTTATGAAATAAGACAAACAAAAATCTATACAACAAAGTAATCGTGAAGAGTTTGCCTGAAAAAGTTGAATAGATATTTTTAATACGATGAGTTTTCTTATAATATTATTAACAATTCTCTACAAAATGAAACGTCTTCCAGCATCCTACGACTTTTTTGACTGACATACATTAACCTGACAGACGGCAGAAAAAACCGACTTGTATCTCTTAGGTAAGACTGATGTATGCTAGTCTAAAAATACTGTAGAACGCTGGAAAGAGTTTCATTTTGTAGGGAATTGTTTGTTCTATAGATTCTGTGCAACGCAAACAGAATTATATTTGCAAATTATCAGAGCTAAAAAGTTTATTTTTGATTTTTCAGACATCATATTTATCAAAAACTAGCAATTATTTTTTAATCTTCGAACACTGTTCTTGAAAATAAAATCGTTTAAAAAAAATCATTATGTGAAGTCTTATTAACGTCTAAAGTAGTTAAAAAGGCTGAAAATAAACCTTGTCGAACAATTTTGAGAGTCATTGTATATAGAAATGAGTTATTCAAACATTCACAATTAATACGCTATTTATTTTATGTCATTGTAGTTTTCAGACTCTTGTTAATAAAATTTTTATTTCATTTGAAACAAATGATTAGCAAAAAGAAATATATGGAATTATATTTTGCTCTTATGAATGTCGCAACCTTTTTTAATAAAAAAAAGGCAGTTAAAACAATGTTTAAAAAAAAACTAAGCAATGAAGAAAAAAAAAAAGACAACTTAACATTAAAGAAAAGAAAACATAAATACACTTCAAGACTTCAAAACTATATATATATATATATGATTTTATTTACGATTTTTTACTTTTTTCTAATGGTAAATAAAGTTGTTTAAGTACATGATTAACACGTTCCATAGCATCTGGTTGATGTGCATTTTCATTAGCGATAATCATTGATCGTTCTCTTAATACAGATTCAATTGTTGCTAAAGGTGGTTGTGTTAAATGATTATTAGCTTTTTGTGAACCTGATCGTTTTTGATTTCCATTATTAGTATGAACTGCTGGCATTTTTGTATTTATTCCAGTATTACTTCGTATTATAGCTGTTTCATTTTTTGAAAATGGACGAAGAAGATTATCAGTTATTGTATATAATCGATGATGATTAACACCATTTGAATCAGTTGATGTTTCATATGAATATTTATTTGACGTATCTATCATTGATATATCACTATTATTCATTGATGATGGAAGAACTAGAAGTGGTGATGTACGATTTGCTAATTCCATAAGATTAGGCATTGTAAGTGTTGATGGTGATAAATTAGGCATACGATCATATTCAATACCATTGGATGGTTTATTTTGTTGTTGATGTTGACGACGATGTATATGTTGTAGTCGACGTTGTGGTAAATTTTTAAAAATTGGTGTTTGTGTTGAAATTATACCACTAATTGTTGGAATAGATTGATCATTTGGTGGAGATGGTAAATCATTTAGAGTTAAAGAAACAAATGAAGCTGTTCGTTTAACTGCTGTATTATTTATTGTTGTTGTTGAGACATTTGGATCAAGAATTGTAGATGTTTCCATTTGTGAACGTTCTCCTACAGAGAAAAATAATTGCATCTTTTCTGTAAAATTAAGGATTGTTTAGTTATTGTTTTTGGCCTACCTGGTTCAATATCAGTTTCACCATCATCTGTCTAGAAATATTATTAATATATGAATAGAACTTTTACTAAAAAGAGAAACAAAAAAAAAAAGAGACAATCATTACCGATTGTCGTTCAAGCAGAGATTCTTGTAAAGATGAATTGCATCTTTTCTAAGATAAAAATAAAATCCATTTTTATTTTGATTAATCTACATTTAAAATAATTTCACTTGTCTTCGTTCTAGTGCTCGTTCAGTAGTAAAAATTGGTAGACCATGACCACTTCTATTAGCATATTTACTTGTAAATAGAGTACCTCGTGGTGGTAATGTACGAGTTGCTTTGTCCATCTAAATTAAAATTTATAATAGATGATTACAAAAAAATTAAATTAATATTAGAAAAATATTGTCTAAGCGAAAGCGGCGTGCGCATATATTGATATGATATACGTGAAAGCAACGCATTTAATACAATATTGAGATTTCAATTAGGTGCAAAAGTGGATAAAAAAAACCCAGTTGAAATATATATATATATATATTTAAATAGTGTCCAAAAATTTCTGAAATACTTTTAAAATTTATTGTTTTTGTATTAAGCAAAAGTAAACTCTCTACAATTTTATCAGATCATTGTATTTATTTACAAATGATTCTCTTCAATTGTTTTCTTACTATTTCAATGATTTCTTGCATATTAATATTACATATTGTTCTAATAGAAATCCTTAAAAGATTTAGATTCTCACTAATATTTGATTAAGCTATCGAAGTTTGAATAGGTCTATTTTCTAAAGATCTCAGATTTTCGGAAAATGCGTTTGTCAAATTTTCGTCTGAAACTTTTTGCTTATAGAGAACCCAACTAGACTAGCTGTCATTAAAAAATTTAGAAGTTATAAATCAATACAATGTTCTAGGTCTATAGCTTTTACTATGAATGAGAAAGTGTCGTTCAATGATTCGAGTTCATCAGATCATAAGACGATGCTCATTGTAAGAAAATATATTTTACTGCTGACAGATAATATATGAAATTCATTCGAATTATGATAGTAGAGAAAGAAAATTAAGAATTAGGTGACTACGAAAGGAAATTTTAACATAGAATACATGTAGCTATAGATGCTGTGGAAAATATTTTAATCAACTAGATTGAACCGAACATATTTTAGTTTAAAACTAGTCAACGTTTAGTCTATAGAAAAAATGACAATGAAAAAATTTAATCTTCGTTTCTATCAACGAATGATAAACAAATTAGCAGTCAATTATTTATCTTAATCAAATATAAAAATATCAGCAAGTTGGTATATGTTTCTTTTTATTTCGATAGTGTTATGACAATTTCTCATCCATAATGAAATTTATAAGCTTAAAAATTTGTTTACTACTAAGTAGGTAGAATAATCAGCTAAAGTTACAAAGAGTTTGCTGTTGCTGAAAAGAAGAACGAAACATTTTAAAGTCATTTAGAACGTCTAGAATACCCTTTGTACATATATATATATATATATACACTTAATAGTTTTTTATTTTATTTTTTGAACCTGGTCAACGGCAAGTGTAAGTTTTAATTGTGAATTCATATCAATTTCCGATGTATATGGATAGGATACACGTATTCGACGATTGGTATCATTAATACCATTAGTACTATTAGTACCATTAGTACCATTAGTACCGCTAATACCATTAGATTCTTCGTTTGCCTAATAGAATAATTATTTGACATTGGTAATAATGACGAAACAAAATAGACGATTAAAAAAGCAAAATTCTCACCGAAACAAATGTTGCTTTGAGAGGTTGCGAACGACTAACCTAAGTGTGAGTACAAGGGATTTTACTTATTTTGCTTTATTTTATCTCATTGCAATTAGCAAAGAGGGTAATTCTATTGATGAAGGAAAAAAATTGTTTCTTTTCTTTTTATATATTTTACCTCTCGTTTATGAGCTATTCTTTGAACACGTTCTTCAATAATTTTTTCTGATCTTTTCTTTTTTAATTTTTTCTTTAATGATTGGTCTTCTTTTCGATATGGAATATCAGGTAATTCACCACCTTCAGGATCACTATCTGAATCGCTAGAACTATTTTAAAACAGAATATAAAGTTTGTTTTTTAATAAAAAATAAAGAAATAATTAACCTTGATGCATCTTGTTCATTAATAGTATCATGACATTGTGATAACACTTGTAAACAACTAGCGACTGAAGTAATTGATATTTGTGGTTCATCAGTTTGTTTTTCTTCTATAATATTAAATGAATTATATAATTAAAATAAATCTTATGAACTTATCTTACCTGGATAAACAGCAGGTAATAAAGCAGGTGGAATTTTTTCTTTTCCTAATTTACGAAGAACACTTTTTGTTATATCCAAAAATATTGAATCCAATCGTCTAGAGATAAACAAATTTATATATTTTTTTTTCTTTACATCAAATAAATCTATAAATTTTATCATACGTCGAATCACAAAGAATATCTAAATATTGTCTTAATGATTGACATATACATTGTCCAAATTTTTCATAATCTTGAATATTAAAATGACATGGTTTTTCTCTGTAATAAGTATAAAAATTTTTTTGTTTTATATATTTATTATAATTATTTAGAATAGGCAAAACATACACAATACTTGATCCTGCAAATGACGCTTCTAATGTAAAACTATTTCTTATTAACATTTCCTTCCACATAACAACACGTCCTGTAGATTCTTTACATCGATGTATATGAAATTTACAATAATCAAATGCAAACATTTCCGGTGCCTAGTATATAAAAGAATAAATTATTCATTTAATATCAACAAACATATTTCTGCACATATTATTCAGAACATCATTAGTTTTTAATATCTTTCGTTCTCTTCAGAAAGTTCATATGAAAAACTTCTGTGGAAAAATTTCGATTTGAAAATTGGGAAATTGTGCATCACTAGATTTAGTTTTTTCATGCTGATTCCAAATATACATTTATTTTCCTATCAAAGTGCTTTTGTGACAAATAAATCACGAAAAATCTTTTAAAACCAATGATTTTAGAAAGCCAGTAAGTATCTCAGGTCACAAGCATATCATCTCACTGAGTGTATGTCGTACTTATCGAAGAAAATCTTCTGGAAAGTTTCGTCGATATTGGACTAGTGAGAAAGAATGACGACCATCTTTATTGAAAATGTCTTTTCGGAAAAAGGCTTAGTATAAAAATAATAATCATTCTTTCAGAACAAAAAGTCAGCAAACGAAAGCATTCTCATATAAATTAATAGACTAGAAGTCTTGATTTAAGACTACGTGTAAAGTTTTGTCCAACTCTTTTTATTTTTCACAAAAAAATGATGTTTTTTTTCTATAGGTGCTGAAATTCAATCTCCCTTGCAACTAAGTTTTTCCAATGAATCTAGTAGCTAGAACAAAATTTTCTTGTAATAAAAAACTGGTCATTAAATCAAAGTGTGTAATTTATTATTCAAATCTTGCAAAAGATCACGTTCATTTTTCACTTAATGTTCACGTTGTTGGTCAATGTGAAAGGAACATTGCTAACGCTGTGGAAGGGGAAGAGGACAAATTTTTATTTCTATGCTATAACACTTCTTTTTGATTGTGTTTCACAAAAGTATGGAAATGCATAGTTGTTCTCATGAGATGCGTCATCAAAATGAAATTTTTTTCAAAAAGCACCTGTTCTAGAGCATTTCTAATATTTACTCTTTGTCATACACGGCTAAGGATCTGTTACTTGACTATATCAAAATTATAGTTTAACTAATTTGACTCAACTGAAGTAAGTAATTTACTGTCCTATGACAACGATATTATCAGTTCCGTTTAAATGGTTTTTTTCAGCATGCAAACAGTGAGAAGAATTGAACGAATCAGAAAATATAAATTATTTTGTCTAATCTATAAGGTAAAGAGAATGATCTAAAACATTGATTGTATAAACTATTAAAATAAATTAGTTTTCGAAGATTTTATAGATCGAATGAAAAATCAACTAGAACATGATCTTATACTTTCGTCGAAGAAAAAAAAAAAGAATGAAAAATCCTGTGAACTATTCAATTTATTCAAAAAGAAACTGACTCGCCGATAAACTGATTTTATATTTTTATATAATATAAGTTCTATCTATCCTTACCGTTCTTGACATAATATATGGAAGAATACGTGCATTTAAAAAGTTCTTCATATTTGGTTGTGGTCCATCACATCCATCACAACCATAAGCAAATACATTCGATTTACGACTATGACCATGAAGATCACAAAAAGCTAAAATCTAAATTAATGAAAAATTCAATATATTTTCTTTTCTATCAAAACTTTTTGTATATATATATATATAATACTTCATGTTCTTCTTTTTGTAAATCTTGCATTAATTGTTTCATATGATAAATTGTTGGAAAAGTTTGTTTACGTGGATGACGAAAATTACGATTCATATCTTTTCCTGTTAATGAACATCGATAATTACCAATAATAACACCATCAGGATTGAGCATTGGTATAATTTTAAATACTAATTGTGAACGTAATTTCTTTTAAATAAATTAATAATTAATTATTTTTCTTAGAATATAAAATCTTACTTGAGCTACTCTATCATCTGATGTAATAAATTCAAGTACACCACGCATCATATAACTTGAATTTGTCTCACCTGGATGTATTCGTGCAGTTATAAAAACAAACTTTTTTTGACTTATTGGTACCGCTAAAGTTTATAAAAATATTATTTAAGACAAAAAAAAAAGAAACATTAAAAGTTGCTTTTTTTAATCATACATTCATCAGTCACAGTTACAATAAAACATGAATTTCCTGCTTGAGATTCACATAAAATATCACGACGAAAAATTTCTTGTGATCTTATTGATGATAAATAATCTAAATCGTCCTTGAGATCTGAAAATGTATATGGATAACAATGTGCTATGTAACATGTATCACTTGTGTGAGGAAATTCCTATGAAAAAGAAAATTTAAGTTTCAAAATGTTCTATTATTTGTATTGACGTACAAGTTGAAAATCAAGTTCAAAATAATTAATATCTCGTTCAAGTAAAGGATTATAAGTGCGTTGTTTATATTCTGCATAATTAATATGATGACCCACACGATGCCAACCTCGTAGTTCTTTCTTTCCTGCTACATCCGAAAAAAGCAGAATTTGCATACCTAATAAGAAAAAAAAAAAGACCAATTGAGATCCTTTATTGGACGACAAGAGTAGTTTTCTTTTTTCTTGTTATGAAATTATTTATTCTTATTATAATTGTTCTTCTAATTCGATTGAAAATGACTTTTAAAGTTCCAAAAAAAGATTGTTTCTTTTGTTCTTAAGATGTATAAAAGAAATGGCAAGTATGCTTCAAGCATTAATAATAGTAATAAAAATTAAGTTTACTCTTGCAATAGTTAAAATGATGTATGGAAAATTTATAGAATCCAAAATAGTTCACTATAGATTGTTTTTCAATCTATTTATATTTTCGATTATGATTAAGAAATTTATTTTTAACATTTGTATCTTTATTCAGAATGTTTTCTATTTTTCAAAGAATAATTACATTAACATCGACTATTTTTCTTTTACTTATGGCGTAGGTTCTTATTGTCATTGTTGTCAAATAATGATTGAAACCAAATATTGACATAATCGGTCATGTTATTTGATTTAGAGGTATTGATTCAATATTATATACACTATTATTAATGAGTGTTAAATCGATTATCAAATGATATAGAGAATATTTGATATGATTCTATTTAGTTTTTTTTTTTTAATAAGAAGGAGTCTATATGTTTTTTCAAAATCAATATTTTTGTTTTAATAGTCTAGAAAATCAAAAACAATCGATACTCATTGAATTAGAAACAAAACTTCTTGATCTCAAAACGATTTTTATATCTAATATAAGAAGCATCTTTCATCCTTAAAAATTTCCCATTCTAATGTCAAAGTTATTGAAAATGTACATGAAAAGAAAACACTGCTTAATATTCCATTGTCAATAATTGACATATGTAAATTTCATCCCAAAATAAAATTTAGAATAAGTAGAATATTATTAACCAAAAAAAAAATCAGAAGTATTTTCATTGATTACCTTCATTATATAGACTACTTTTTTTCACCAAATTAATAATTCGAAAACGATACGTTATATTAGCAATCATATTTTGTACACGAAAATAGTACCATTGTGTATGTCGTCTGGTATATAGATCGGGTCGAAGGATAAGTTCATATTCAAATTGACCTCTAGATAGATATATATATATTAATAAAAAAAATAAAATGAACATTTAAAATTGTTTAATTATTACTTACACACGTTTAACTTGTCTTAAATTTCCACCTTCAAAACGTGATTCAAATATTAACGATGGACACATTTGTTCATTATCATTTGCTTTAGGTTGTTGTTGTCTTGGTGATTTATCCATATCATAAACAAGAATTGGATGTTTAAGAACATCGGTATATTTAAACATAGCTGGTTGATTATCAAATGTTTGTTGATGATTTTTACCTAAAAAATGATTATCATGTAGATAATAATATTCTTTAAAACGATGTTTTTTTTCATTTCGTGTATAAAATAAAAATGATGGTGTTGGATGTTTTATAGGAAATGCCATAGGCCAAAATGGACCAGATTCATCAATACATATTCTTGTTGCACGAAAATAATAAACAGTTTTAACTGTACCATCCTTTGATACGAATTGTTGTTGCTCATAAATACGACTACGTAATTGTAAATTTGAAAAAAGATTTTTACTTGAATTGATTGGATGTCCATGTGGTAAGATAATTTCTTGTTCATTTTCATCATTATGTGTATCAAAACTACGATTTAAGTCTGTATCAGAACGAAATTTAATCAAACTTTTAGCTTTTGTTGAAAGTACCAATGAACTTGTTGGATTGTTTAGATTAAAGTCTTCTCGAGACCAAATTGATTGTCCAATACGCATTGTTCTTTTTATTTCCTTGACAATTATATTACGTTGTACATAGATATAAAATCAATCATCTAGACTTTTTACATCTACTTAACACAAAAATGAAACGCAAAGAAAAAGTGAGTAGAATAATAAAAAACGACCTTTTTGCAACCAATAGATCGTTACCGATTCAAAGACAAATATAAGAGAAAATTATTTGTTACATACAAAGACATTCTCAATTCCTTTGCTGTTCTTCTTATTCTTTCTGGTTACTGTTTTCTTTTTACTTACTTGGCAATGATGAATTTGTGATTGTTAAATAAAATTCTTTAGGTGACAATTCGCGGCTAAGTAATTTTGGTGTTGGATGAAGAATACGAAAGTCATTTGGCCAGAATGGTCCATCTTCATCAATAATAATTCCATATTTATTAATATAAGGACTTGTATTCTCACCGTTATTGATTTGTTGATCAAGTATATTTATGATATCAGCTTTATTCGTTTTAAGAATACTATTTCCATATAAAAATGATGAATCCCTATTAATTGAAGTTAGTTGTGCTCGTTTGCCATGAACACTTTGCAAGTCAAATGATGAATCGTCTAATACATGCTCGTCAGTTCGATTTGATGAAAGTCTCCGACGATGACAAAATCTTGTGTATGAATCTAGATGAAAACTATTGCTACAAAATGTATTTCTTTGATGATTAAATGTCGAAAGATGATTTTGTGTTCCATACGATTCTTTTGCGTTAAGTGGATGAAGAAGACGTTGATTACGTCGATCTATTTCATTCCATGAATCATTTTGATGAGCATTTGTTTCATTTTGTTGTGATGAAAGATGTTGACCAGCTCTATTTTATTGATAAAGATTGAAAATAGAAATGAAGACTATGAATTCGAAATACTAGTGATATTGTCAATTTTTTTGAGAAACAAAATAAAGAATTTTAATATTCATTGAGAAACAACGTATGAAAAAAGAAAATTGATTTTTTTATAGGTTTTCTTTTTCTGTTTTTTGTTTTATCAAAGAACAATAGGTTATGAAAGTCAATTCACTATTTTTTCGTAGATTCTTATTTCTCCTTGAAGAAATATACTTATTTAAATTTGCTTATTATTTAAAAACTTTCAAATTTCTTATTATTTGAACTTATCGATTCTTTTTTTATAATAATTATTTTATTGTTATAATATTGACTCAATCTGTGTTTTCACTAATCATATTGAAAATGAATGACTTCTGTTTATATATAAATTTGCTTACTGTTAAATATAAAACAATAAGGAAAGAAATTTTTTTCGTTATATATTTTTTAAATAAGCTTTATTGATATTATAAACTAGATTAAGATATTTTATTTTTCATACCGAAGATATTGTCGACGTAATTTAGCTAAACGTTCTTGTCTTTCTGTTTCTTCAAGTACTTGTTGTACTTGTCGTTGAAGATCGTCTTCTAACTGTCGATGAATATTTGCACGCCATTGATCATATGTATTTGTATCTAAATATAGGTTGGTTCAAAATAAAAATAGGTTAATCTTAAAATAAGGAGAATAAAACAAGAAAACTTCATTGAATCCTATTTCATTTCCTACCTTTTTGAGCACTTAGAGCTCTGTCAGTGTTGACAGTAGTAGTTGAAGATGGGCGGATTTGGGGTAGTTTAAGCACCGGAAGCTTCATTGAATCAGTCATTCTCGGAACAGTAGTCGTTACTCGTGTTGGTTTTTTTCTTTCACGATGTCAACATTTAAACAACATGCACAGTAAAAGATGCTTTGTATTTTGTGTAAACTTCTTTTCACTTTTTCTGTTGCTCACTTCGTCACTCAGTCGACACTACTTCACTTTGCAAGGATGCTGTTTTTTGTCTTATACAATTGTGCATGTGTACTGTTAAACAAAAAGCTATTGTTTTCTTTTTCACTTTCAAAAAAAAAATAAATTACGATGTGCTCGTGGCAATGTTCTGGGTAGATACAGAACATAAATAATAGACATTCTAAGAATGCTAGTGTTTTTTTTCTTGATCAACAGAAGAAAGGTCAAATATATATTGTATGAACAAGCGGTGATAATAAATTTAAAAATAATTGACATTTCTTTTTTTATACTTTTACTTGACTTCATATCAAAATAACTAACACTCAATTAAACATATTAGAAATTTTACCTTTAAGATGTTTATAAAAATTTTGTTTTATGTCTTCGGATAGACACAATTCAATGCTATCATTTTGTTCTTGTATCGTTCCTTCATCTAGTACCATTGTTTGCCATATGCCATGAAGAATTGTCATTTATATTCTTTTTGCTCTTTCTGTCTTCTTGATAGACACCGTAGTCAATGATTAGAAGCGAATGGGAAAAAAAGAACTTTACCAATATTGTAAAAAGAAAAAAATCTATGATTATATCCTTGCCATGTCAATGAAAAACGCATCCAATACCAAATAAATAATTACATCATTATGATTATCGTTTTACTTACAATAGGCTTCTGCTTATATTCATTCATGGACATTTGCAGTATATGGTATGTTATTTGAACAATAGATTGAATTTTTTTGTTCTCGTTTTTTGTAATCAGTAAAGTTTATAAATCAATTGAAATTCAAGTTGAATTACAAGATGAATATCAGTAAGATGAGAGATCATTCAAAAAATATTACCTATGATGATATTAAATAATTGGTGGATAATAATTATCTTTCTGTTATCAGCACAATAATAAATTTAAAAGTACTATAGTTATATCTTTATAGAAGAAAAATGATCTATTGTTTCCGCATATTTGCAAATCACTTTTTACTAGCAGAAACTTTGAAAGACAGAATTTCGATTGTGTTTTTTTACAATTAATATATAAAGTTTCTACAGATCGTTGAACAAATCAAGGAAAGAGAGAGCGACTGTCGGAATTTATTGGATTTATTTAAAGCATCGAATTTATCTGGACTTCCCATATTAATAGCATATAATATATTTTAACTCATTCAATCTGAAGAGTTAGCCTCTCATCTTCAGTCTTAATTGTCGTTCTCGCCCTCATCCTCAACTAGATACTTGATTTCAGTCTAGTTTCTTTCGTTTAATGATAACATATAGAATGGAATTTATAGGAAGATCCGTGTAATTCCTTCCTCCTGCCGCCCCCCCCCCCTCTCTCCAAAAAAGAAAAATTCCGAAATCTGCTGGAATCATTCACTCTAGTTAACAACAAAAAGAAACTAGTGCCATCTAGTTAGTTTTTATTTAAACTTTATTTTTTTTTATTTTCAAAATTATACTTCATCAGTATACCTTTTGATTTTGGTAACTTAGTAATTTTTCGTTCGATCGTATTAAATATAGTTCAAGAGATATAATAATTAAAGATTGATTTGCACTTATAAAAACTATTCGAATTTATAACTTGGTTTTTAATTAAGAAGACTCTATTCAATAAATAACGCGAGAAATATTGACTTCGAAAATAAATAATAGTAAAGTTGATATCATAATTATCGTTCATCAGTATTTCGATTTGAAAAATGTCGAATTTCGATCATAAACACGACCTTTTATCAAACAGTTTGAGAGATTTTTATATCGAATTATGACTATTATAACATTTTATGATGTACTTTAAGTTTTATTTCTACTAAGATTAGTTATATCAGCAAATCAATTGTCCGACCTTCTGAAAGGCCAATATTCTCTTGTAGAATGTATTTGTAATTATATCCAACTCTTTAATTTTCTGTTGTTCTATTGAGAAGTTACGATAAAAAATATTTGGAAATAAACTAATAAACTTTTATTGCTATAGAAATGTAGACTGAAAACAGATAACAAGCATAGGAAAAGTAGCCATATTAAAAAAAGAAAGCGTTAAACTTTTAGTTCATTAAGATGCCATAAAAAAATCAAAAAGAAAAGAAATAGGTAGAAGTAAACATTGCTCAATATAGTATAACATTCTCATTTTTTCTGTTGAATACGTGATCGAATAAGTTCTTCCAGTTTTTTTGCATCAGTTGCAAATTTTCTTATGCCATCTGATAATTTATCATGAGCCATTTCATCTTCATTTAACATCCAACGAAATGTTTTTTCGTCAAGTTTTTCATGTTTTTTGTTTTCGTGTACTTTTTTCTCACATTGTTCTTTATTTAAATAGACTTTTATTTGTTCATTATCTGATGTTTTTTGTGATGCCAATTCATCGAGTAATTTTGGACTTATTGTTAATAAATCACATCCAGATAAACCAAGAATTTGTTTTGTATTACGAAATGATGCACCCATAACAACAGTTTTGATATTATTTTGTTTATAATAATTATAAATGCGTGTAACACTAACCTATTTATTCATATATAAATATATATAAAAGAAGAAAAACTAAAATAAAATATTTTCTTTTTCTTAAATAACTTACAACACCAGGATCTTCATCAATTTCATATTCACGTTTGCCTTTTTTTTCAACATACCAATCATAAATTCGTCCAACAAATGGTGAAATAAGTGTTACATGTGAATCAGCACATGCTAATGCTTGAGCAAAAGAAAATATTAATGTCATATTACAATGTATACCATATTGATCTTCTAATACTTTTGCTGCTTGTATACCTTCCCATGTTGATGATAATTTAATTAAAACTCGATCTTTTGTTATACCACGTTGTTCATATAAATCAATTAAATGACGTGCTTTATTTATTTGTCCTTCAAGATCAAATGAAAGACGTGCATCAACTTCAGTTGATACACGACCAGGTATTATTTTAAGAATTTCTTCACCAAATGCAACAAATACATTATCCATAATATCATCAATTATTACTTGTTCATCTAATTCAGATGTATTTTTTTCTCGACATTTATCAATAATATCATTAATTATATGATCATATTGTTTCATATTAGCAGCAGCTAATATTAATGATGGATTTGTTGTTGCATCGGTTGGTTTATATTTTTCTAATGATTCAAAATCACCTGTATCAGCAACAATTGTTGTATATTGACGAAGTTGTTCAAGAACGTTAGCCATGAAATAATGCTTGAATCAGAAAAACAAATCTTCAAAATTAGAAAAAAAAAAAAATTCTTCTGCGCATATTCTTAGACGAAATAAAATGTTTCTTTTTTGCACGCTTTTAATCTTTGGCTGATAAAAACATATTATTGTTTTTGTTTCGCTTCATTAAGCCGATAGTATACTTGAATCCAAGGCAAAATGTATAAATCTTAGTTTATAGCTATTTTCGACTATACAATATTCACTGAGCTGTAGAATTAATGAGTGCAAAATATAATTTTTTTACCCGAGTGTTACTAAATGGTAAAAGTATCGAATAAATTTAAGTATATATACGCAAATCTTTTTAGAGAATGAAAAAAAAATATATTGCGCAAAAGGAAAATTGTTTGTTGATAAGACTCTACATTACAGAACTATCAATAAAGATCTTCATCAGTTTAACACATATCGATACACAGTAATAAAGCTACGTAGTCTCGATGCGTCAGATGTTTCATTCCACTAGACTCATTTCATTTTAACATAATGACATATTCTATTTCTCAATGATCACTTCTCTTAATTAAAAATAAAATTTCTTTAAATAACTTTTTTTTAATTGATATTTTCACATTTTAAGAAGCAAAATTGAAGCTTTCATTATTTTCTTATCCATACAAGATATTTCCCCACGGCAAAACAAAAACGAAAAATCGAAAGCACAACTCGCTGATATTAAAAGCTACAACGAGTGTGTGAGAAAAACAGAGACGAGCTTTTTTTTTTTTAGAGAAATAAAACAATTTAACATAGGATAATAATCATAATAATAATGAATATAAAGATCGCAAGAGAAATCAAAATACAAACAAAGAAAAACAAAACTGAATGTACAAGTGAAATGTACATTTAGTTGATGAAAACGAGAAGAACATACATGCATCAAACAATACTAATAGAACATATTTTTTCTTTTGTTGATTGTTGCATGTCTCTATCACTTCTAATTGCACATAAAAATAACAAAAAAAAACACAAAACAAAACAAAAAATTACCGAAAAATGAAAGTAAAAACTTTTTTAAGACGACGAAAACATCAATGATAACAACAACAGAAAAGAAAAAGAAAATTTTTGTTGAAGTTAATAGACACAAAAAACAAAAGAGCATTTTTTTTATTTCAAACTCACCGACACAAGCATAACCAAAAAGCAAACATTGAGATTTAAACAGCAGGCTGTGGAACTGATGAATAATATCGAAATAAATCATGTCTATAGAATGATGGAATATGACCACGTTTTACAAAAACAAGTTTTGTATCTTCAACTTCACAATCGATTTGTATCATAGGTACATGATTAGCTGGTACATGAATTGATTCTATAAAATATTTGAATAGAAAAAACAAAATTTAAATTAATTAAACATACTATTTAAATGTGTAATTGATGCTGGTAAAATCAAAGACATTTTTGGTCGTTGAGTTTGATTCGTTACCGTTGCAGGAAGGATAAGATGATCCTTAATAAAGAAAAAAGAAATGTGAGAACAATTAATTTTTAGTTTTTTCATTTTAAACAAAATTATTTACTCGTTTGAATGATACAAAATAAAGTGTATCATTTTTTCTATCAATTGTATGAATAAAATCCTCATAATTAGGTT